GAAGGGATAAGAAAAGGAAAGAATCATCTCACTCGCACTCGCAGGATTAATGAGGAGCTACTTGGTTAACCTTAAGGAGCACTCGGGAGTCAAAAGAGCCGAGTTTGCCCGGCTCTGCCTTACAGGATGGCTAGATGTATCAGTTAAATAAATAAATTAATTTATGGGTGCTTCCGTGAAAATAGGGCAACTCTATGTCCACAGGCATTTTTCACTGCATTAAATTAATTTTACTTTTTAGTTAATAGGTAACAGCTTAATATGTATTTTATTTAATTAATAAAATTATTATTAATTACTAATTTAAAATAGCACAGTATGTAAAAAATGGCATAGACTAATCACATCAGGACATCCCTTATAGAGATAACGGTTCAGGAAGGATCCTTTATGATCCCCAATACAGTTTCCTTTTTATTATGGGGTGTCTATTTTATGGGTTTAACGTTTAGAAAGTGCCGTTTGTTAATTTTTTGATGTAGCCGATTTTTCACAGGTTATAAACATCCTTCTCTTGCAATATTTTGAGTTTGAAAGCGCCGCCTTGTATGTATCCACAAAGATGTTTTAAAGGGTTAATCACCAATGGTTACATTCGCCACATTCTTGACATTTGTTCCTAGTTTCAAGTTTTAGATATAAGAAGTGACCAAGGACTTCAATAGATAACCGAGCGGCATGGCCTAGAGGTTCAGACCATTGCTTAGCATTCGGGAGGACGCCGGTTCGATTCCGGGTCCGTCTGCCTTGGTCCTAGTTTTTATGTGGTTTCCTTGGATTACCTAGGCAAATGCTGAGGCAGTAATATTCCACAGATAATCTTTCATTCTCTTCTGTCTTCATTTCGTCCGTCTCATCTTTCTCACCCGAACCCCCACCCACTCATTCCCACGATTCCTGAAAGCAGGCTGAAGATGGCCTTCCGCCCTACCTTCCGGTGTAGTCCGGAGGGACTGCCCGACTATCAGCATTACTGGCTAGTGGGAATGAAACACCCAAAAGTTTTTTTTTTTTAGGTATGTATTCAAAAACATAATGACGATAGTAATTTTATTTAAAGAGAAAATAGGTGTTTCTTTACAAAAATATAAGCTTTTGAACACAAACATCACCTAAACGCCTTCTGTCTGGACACAAAGTCCGCCGAAAGAAACTTCTGACATAAGCGGTACTTTGAAAAAAAAAACTGCCTTTGAAGCGATTGCGTGTCAACACGCGCACTTTTTATCAATAGATATCTACTCATTAAGTGCACCTTATCTACTGTCTGTAATTTTCTATAGACACATTAATTTTACATGTTTTAAAACAATTGGCAGAAAAAGTACTTATAATTAGTAAGTAGAAGGAAGGATCCCATATAACTACTCCTGTTTACTTATCCTTTCAACCGTCTACGCGCATTAACATTTCTGAGTTGTGAAAAAAGATCATTATGACAGTCTCATCGGCTTAATTTTTCTTGAATTTCGGCGAACGTTTTCCCTTTCGTTTCTATCACAAAGAAAATGGAGAAAAACGCTCCTAACAAACAGAAAGCTGAAAAAATCCAATACGTTACACCGAGTCCAACAGCGTCCTGTATGTTAGTAAAAGCTTTGGTGACAACGAAAGCAATAAACGAGCAACAACTTGTTGCTATGGCAGAAGCAGCGGCTTTGACATCAGCCGGGAATATCTCGCCGATGATCACTAAGGGTAACGCGCCAAAACCAACATTGTATGTAATAATGTAAGCAATCATAGTAGCAATAGGTAACCATCCAATATTGCTCACGTCGTGGTCATTTTCTTTTAAATAGAAGTAAGCCCCAAGTGGTATTATCGATATCATCATTCCTATTGCTGATATCAAAAGCAAAAATTTCCTTCCTTTTCGGTCCACCAAAGCAGGAGTAGTAAAAGCTGTAACAAACTGGACTAAGCCAACTATAAGGGAAGAAATATTGGAATCAAATGAGCTTCCAGAAGCGTTAAAAACATCAGTCGCGTATGCTAAGACAATCGGAAAACCAGACAGTTGCGCTATGCTTGTTAGGCCTAAGGATATCAATAAGCCTTTTCTCAAGCTACGGCTTTTCAACACATCAGTTACTGTGCCTCTGCTCTTCATATCGTTTTCGACATTGTCCTTAATTATAGCAAATTCTTTTTCAATTCCTTCTGTGTTCGTACCCCTTAGCTTTGCAAGGGATGATTTTGCAGCGGGAATATTGTTTTTCAATATAAAATATTGGGGACTGTCCGGAAAAAAAGAAAATAAAGTCACGAACGTGACAGGAAATATAGCGCAAGTTAGGCTGAACCACTTAACTGATATATAAGGTCCCAACGCGTAAGTAAGTAGTTCTCCACTAACTCCAAAGATATTGAGAAACGACGCCAGAGCTCCCCGTATTGAGGCTTCAGATATTTCTCCTATATACATGGGCAAAGCAGTAAATACTACCCCCAAACCCAAACCACCGATGAACCTCGCCACGCAGTATACAACTGGGGTTTTACCGAATGCCAACATTAGAAATGCTGTTGTTACGGGAATCCCAGATGCGTAAACTAAAGTCCATTTACGTCCAATTCTATCGACAAGGAATCCTGCAATAAATGGTCCAAAAATGGATCCAGCTGATGAAAGAGATGCTATCCAGGACTGTTCTTCGTTCGTAATGGGTTTATCAAAGGGATTTTCGTTTAAGATACCTGTACTGTTGTTCATTTTCGGCAACACGGGAGATGTCCATGTTACAGTAAGGCCAACGACGAACGCTCCTAAATTACCTAAAAAACAAATATAAAATTTTCTATTTTTATTGGTATTTATTTATTTCTTTCTGCTTGTCTGTATGTCATGTCGAAATGGGTGAAATTATGGAATCGATTTTTCTCCTTTTGCCTACATGACGGTTGGCTAAAAAACTTTTGTTTAGACAAAAGTATGTACCTACTAATTATTTGCGATAATGCAATGCTATACAAAAATATTGTTTTCGGAGTTTACTCATTAAGAATCGATTTCACTTATAGCCCCCGGTACGAAAATTTAATGGGTAGTAAAACTTTAGCAAAAAGCGATATATTTTTATAAATTAATTAATTAAAAAAAATACCTAAGCAGAATATTCTTTTGCAACTGGTTCCGCATTTTTATAACGGAAGCTTATCGGAACTTAACAAAATCTTATTTCTCATTCTTTTGAAAATCAATATATTATTGTTTCCGTTATGGCACTTCCCTGGCATCGCTATGCGGAATGGATATCTTTTATCAAACAAAACAAAATGCTTTTCTAACTACTCAATCGATCATCATGAAATTTTGAAAATCCATTGTCAGGGGTAGAGAAAATAACATAGAGTACCTTTTATTTAGAAGAAAAGGTACTGTTCCTGAGAGATAGAAAAAATTATTAGTTTTATGTGGTCGTTGATGGCGTTTGACACGTATTATTAGGACATCAACGCGAGCAAAAGCGCAGGTAAAATTTATAGTATTATAACCCGAGATAAAACTGTTCAGCCTCTCAGAGTCTCTGAAAACGAAACTCGAGTCTCTGTCTCTTATCGAGTCTTTGTGGTGTGGCAGAGAAAACTTTCGAGAGACTGTCAAAAAAACTGTTTAGCGTCTCTGAATGAGAGACTCGAGTCGCTCATAGAGAGATCCTCATTTCGTATCCAGTCTCTGAACGAGAAACTCAAATCTCTAAATTAACAATTTTATCGTTCGAGTCTCTCATACAGAGGCTGTGAGAGATCCATAAAAACACCTAGGCAATAACTGAGAGACTGTGAAAGACCGTAGGAGAAGCTCTCAGAGACGCTGAAAGACTCTGAGAGACTGGAAATTTTTGTTTAGGGAATACATACATGGTACGTATAAGTGATATTAATATTCAGTCTGTTATACAAATATCAACAATCGATTTTGGAGCTTTGGAATTAAAATTTCTACATACCAACCGATATTGATATTTATATTTATATGCACTGAAATGAATAGAGGTATAAAATATTGTAAGATATGGAAAAAACCAGTTCAAGTGATGATGAAAAAAATGCGAAGAACACGTGAATGAACAAAAACAATCGCACTTAAAATGTAAACTCCAGTTGCGCGTCAGACCTGACACGCGCATTTTTTATTTATTTATATATAATTCGAATAAAAAATTAAATTAAAAAAGTAAAAGTTGCTCTTATTAACATGTGTTATCAAAAATGACGTAAGTGGGCAACATCACAATCAATTTTTGGTGTAAAATGCCATTATATATTTATTAACATTATGCACTAAAAATCTCGGCCCTACAGGGATATTTGAATTATATTTTCAGGCTATATTGATACTAATGTGCTATATTGATCCTACCTCTACCTATCTTGAAAAAATAATAAAAAAAAAGAAAAATAAGAAAATAGTTTTTTCCTCAAAAGCAATTTAACTATTTTGAATGAAATTTGAACGCATTATGGACTCATATAAAAACCTCATTCTGAAAAAATGACAGCTCAAAATATTTATAGAAATTGTTAAATTATGTTTTTTATTGATAATAACGTTCTGGAGTGATTTTGAAAAGAACTTTTTTCAACGAATATTTTTAATTGTT